TGCAGTTTTGTGCACACACAAGTTGTAATCCTAACAGCTCTTTTCAGTCACTGAAATAAGTTCACACTGTTTAAATAACTAAAATGACAGTTAGATGAAACAGTATTCACAGATTCACAGAAGTTTAGGGCTGGAAGAGACCTTGGATGATCATTGGGTCCAGCCCCTGCTCTGGGGAGGAAAGACTGCAGGGGTCAAATAACTGAGGCACGGTGCGCATCCAGTCTCCTTCTGAAGGTCTCCAGGGCAGGTGCCTGCACCGCCCCCGCTGGCAGTCTATTCCAGGGTCTGGTGTCATGAACTGTGAAGAAGTTTTTCCTTAGTCTTTTCCTTATTGGAAAGACTTAGGACAGTACGAATTTAATATAGACCTTAATACTGTAATGTAAAAATGACTCACTAATTCAGAATTTTAATAACGTAACTGTAAATGCATTTATTTTTCTTGCTTTTCCTGTAATGTATTACCAAATAGGTATGTCGGGGTCTCTAAGGTTTATTACTTAATAAAATGTTCAGAGATTGGTATCAAATATTTGATATAGTTTGACATTTTATCAGAAGTATTTCCCCAAGGATTATATTAAAAATAATTATCCTGTGAAAGACATTAGCACTCATTTAAAATCTGTAGGGTACCTCTAAGATAAATCTTGGAAAAAGTCTAAAGGATTTGTCAGAAACACCTGTGTTTATTGTAAAAGGCATTTGTATTTTGGTTCACTTTTGCTCATGGAAATACATCTTTCTTTTTTTGCTACTATGGTGATTAAAAAGTAATGTATTCTTAAACAAAAAAGAGAATCTAACTTCCCTTTCAAGTGCTCTTGGAAACTACCAATTCTTATTTGTGCTTCCTATTACCTTGTTCTCTGGGGTTTTTTAAATCATTAGTCACAGAAACTAGGGCAGTTTTCCATAATGACTCACACTGGCTTGTACGTGATAGTATAGATATTCATATCACCCTTGTAATAGCATCTGCAAGTGATTCAACACTGAGGAGCTTCAGAAATTCTTCCTGTGTTGGTCTGAGACTGGTAGACGTTAGGGCTGTGACTGGAGATGGCCATAGTAGTTATGGGCATGCCTCGCTGAAACCAGCCACAGCACAAAATGAACCATGCTGGGGAATGGGCTTTAAAACAGTAGCCCTCTGCCCATATGGTCAAACCTTCACTTCCCTTCAGAGACCCGTCAGTGCTTCTTTCGCACATGAGATGGCCTGGTTTATGAAGGCTGTTGTGTAACATGGTCAGGTGCAAAGCAGTAAAAGCCTGAGGTCTGCTGTGTGGTTGAGTTCAGGAAGTAACTGCACATTTGTCCTGCACTGACTCCCATGTCGGATCTCAGGGTAGGATATAATCTTTGTTTGTTAAAACCGCCCAGAGCTGAAAGGGCTGGAGGACTCTGCATATCAAGTGCTGCTGTTAGTGCTGGAGGGACTGCCACCCAAGCTGTGGTCTTGTCTACCCTTTGGACAGCCCCATTCACTCTGTGCACTTGCGCAAGCAGGGGTTGCTACTGAGGGCATGATCGGGGTCCGTGGTTTATAAAAGTGGAACCAAGGGCTTTGCTTTGGTGAGGCTGCCGTAGGCATGGAGCCACTGTGCAAACACAAGAGCACTTTGCACAGCCCTTTTACACCTTGTTGAGAAGGTGACGTAGTTGCGTGAGGCAGAGCTTCTTGCAGGGTCTGAGGTAGGCCCATTGACTCGTGCTCGCACGTCATCACGTTGGCTCGTCTCACAGTCACTCTTGAGAGGCTGGCAGAGATGTCAGTCTGCTGAGAGCCACGCACTTCCTCCTTATGGCAGAAGTGGTTCAAGCTTATCAGGGCTAGACAAAGTTTAGATTTCCCGCTTCTCTCGTATCTTTTCTCTGCAGTCTTTCAGGAACCAGAGAGACCCTGAGTGTCGTCCCAGGGAAGAAAAGTGGTAAGTCAAGCAGGAAACCTCTCACAAGGTCACTGTGGATTTGATCATCCACTCAACTCCCACTTTGATCGCCTTCAAGAGACATTTGGATGAGTATCTTGCTGGGGTCCTATGATCCCTGCTGACTTCCTGCGCCTGGGGCGGGGGGCTGGACTCAGTGATCCTCCGGGGTCCCTTCCAGCCCTAATGTCTATGAAATCTATGAACTCTTAGCAATTTTTGTTTGTTTTCATTTTGATTTGTCCCCTTTCGTTCTTAAATTGGAAAGAAAATATTTTGCAGATATTGTGAAGAAATGTTAGTGACTGTAGTTAAAACTGCCTATGGCTTTGTGTAATGGCTGATTTTTTTCAAAGTACATTTAGATCCTTGTATATACTTCAATTGTCCTGAAAATTGTGGTGCTTCCTGATAGCCCAGGGCAGAGCGAATGCCCTAACTTTGCAGTAGCACGGGGGGGGGGGCGGCCTGTGAGGACAATGGCCCCGAATGCTGATTGGGAGTTGGGGGAGGGGATTGGATTGGAAATTACTGCTCCTGCTTATTCTAATTAGAACACAGCTTTGACTGTGCCAGCACTGGGGAGACCCTGTTCTGCAGCTGGCACCAGCGCCTGTTTGCACTGTGCTGCTAGCGTTGGGAGAGAAACCCACAGGCCCCCCAGCAGGAGCAGCTGGCTCCAGGAAACATGGGGGGAAGACTAGGAAAGCAGTGACACTAAGCCAGGCAGCAGGCTGTCCTATGGCAGGAGGAAGCACTACTGCCCCATCAGGGCAGCTCCTTGCCAGTGCTGTAAACCTACTTTTGCACTTAAAAGTGTAGGTCCCTAGTAGAGAGAAGATGTCAGTGCTTCAGCACAGACGCATCTGGGTGAAGCCAAGAGCGGCTGTCTGCGGTGCTCTCAGATGTGAATTATTCTCCTACTCTTTCCTGTTCACTTTTATCCAAGCTGTCCAGGTACTTGCCAGAAGTGTCATTCAGCTGCCACCAGCTTGTTCTCACTACAGGTGGGCAAGGGGGTTTGGGACCGAAACCTGGTGTTTGTCTCCAGCAGGGGCCAGAGTCCTCCTTGACCATATCAGTTAGACTTCCCGGTGTCGGCTCCTCCAGGGACAGAATTGCAAAAGCATGAGTCAGAAGCAACGGCTATCTCTGCTTTCCAGCTATAGTAACAAGATGGGTTGTCAAGGGGTCAGGGATGGCAGAGAGCAGCTCTGTATTTCAGCCACCCAGTGCTCGGTGAGTGCAGAGCAGCTATTTGCTTGTTTGCTGTAGCACTGGTCAGCCACATACTTCCTACCCTGGGCACTGACAGAGATTACAGCCAAAGAGGTGAGGTGCAGCACAGAAAACAGTGGGTGGGGAGGATGTAGTGTAAGGGTGACAAGATGCTGTGTTTGTGCTGTAGAGGAAAGAGGAAGGATATTAGTGCATGTGGTCACCCCAACCCTTACTGTTTCAAAAGGAAATATAGATAGAAATGTTTTTTGTTTCTATGAGTTATTTGTATTATAAATTCTGTCTGCAAAGAAGCACCTTGCACTGTGCCTTAAATGTAATACCCTCTTCACAAATTGCAAATGATGAGCCTTGTAAGAGCCTACCATTTATTCTTGTAAAGTGCATGTAGAGATGTTTGGCAAAGCTGTTTTGCAGGCTGGGTTGTTCATTTAGGTAAGACTTTAAAAACAAGCTAGTGCTATTTTTATGAAGGGAGGACCAGTAAAATAACAGTAGTAGTGACGCTGTCTTTTGTGTTGTACCAGAGCTCTTCCTTTTTGATAAAAACAAAACCAAAACATGCAGAAGAGGACCCAGGAGGATGTTAAAGACTACAGTTTCACAGGCAGGAAAAGTAATTTCTTAGGGCTGCTTCCAGTGTGATGCTAGAAGAACTGGGGGGTAGAGAGAGGTGTAATTATTGCAGTGCTGATTCTTTAGCATAGAAAACAGAAAAATGTTGATGCATTTTGATTAGATCAAGGGGGGAGGGGCAGGAGGCAGGGCAGTCGGATCAAAAGCTCTGCGCTGTGGGGTTGCATAAGGTTGCCAAGGGCTTTGTAGCCCATCCTTCTTCTAGATGTTAGGTTGAGTGAACAGGAAAGGCCGGTCTTGCAGGGGTACAGTGTGTGTCCTGAAGCCCCCACAAAGACATTGTTATTGCTCTTGTGGCATCCTGCAGTGCCAACCACACACAGGCTAGGCAGTGCTGTTCTCTTAGCATTTTCATCCTGGCAAGAATGACCTGACTTATGAGCTGCCCCAGTGGGTGGGAACCCTTCCTCCCTGTGCCTTTGGGCTTGTTGTCACTGAAAGAAGGAGGGTATTGGGTGCTGGATCTTGCTCCCAGGCTCCTGCATTTTATCGGATAAGCATCTAACATAAAATACAGAAGTGCTCACTGTAGCAAACTGCTCAAACAGAGAAAATGGTGTAGTTTAACACAGGCGTCTTTGTCAAAGGCCTTTCTGATAGTAAGGTAAAGGAACCTAGTAAGTCTTGCGTCCAGAAAGATCACGTGAAACTGTCATTGACTGCAGCTGTCTCTCAGTAAATCACCCTGAACTGGTATGACAGTGCTTGCAGCTGCCTGCTGAGTCTGTATTTAATGATTTCTCCTTGTGTGGCAACTAAACACTTCTTTATTTTTAAAAACTTGTGGGTTTGTTTGTGTTAAAAACCCTGAAGGGGTGTGAGAGAGAGAGAGAGACCAGAACCGTATTGAGTAGTAGATAACTAATCTTTTTACCAGTTCAGAAAAGTGACAGTAAACATATGTCAGTCTCCAGAATTTATGTTCAATCTTCCCTTTAAAAAATGGCCAGGTCCAGAATATTTCCATTCCTTCCATGTCGGAGCGTCCTGCTGTTCCTCTGCAGTTACTGACGCTGATCCTGTTCTCAGAGGTCACATCCTCCCACTAACCCTGTATCTCGGGTGACTATATGTGTGTCATGCCAAGAGGAGTTTCTCCTCATAATAATAGTGATAATAAAAGTTGAAAAAAAACCCAGGCCTGTTATGATGATCAATAACCTGAACCTATTTTCTTCTCGCATACAGGTTGTTTTTAGAACCCTGGAAGAAAGTTGACGGCACTGGTCTGAGATGATTGGTGCGAGAAAATATTATGCTGCTCTCTGCTTTCTTCTCTGCATTTTACTAATGACTATCTTTAAAAGCTGGATGTATATTGACAGATTTCTAACAAAAATCGAAATAAAGAAAGGTAATTGCTATAAATGGGAAGCTACCAATAGTACAATCACAGCCTTGGAGGATAACAGAACCTTTATCGTAGCCCCGTACTTTGATAACAGAGAGAGCAAAATCACCCGAGTGATTGCGATTGTTCACCACGAGGAGGTGACGGCACTTTACTGCTCGTTCTGCTGCCAGCCTGATGGGGAAACACACGTATCTAGGGCAGACATTGATGTCCATTCGGATCGATTTGACTTCCCTTACGGTGCAGCGGACCTGCTCTGTGCAGAACCCCGCACCTGTGATCCGAGCTACGTGTCAATTCACTCATTCCCTAATGGAAATATTGAGCAGCTGCCCAGATTTGAAATAAAGAACCGCAAGGCTGAGTCCTTTTCTGCTGACTTCACCGTGTGCATCTCAACCATGTTTGGAAACTACAACAACGTCTTACAATTTATCCAGAGTATGGAGATGTACAAAATTCTTGGGGCCCAGAGAGTGATGATCTACAAGAACAGCTGCAGCCCCCTGATGGAGAGCATCCTGGCCTTTTATATTGCAGAAGGAACCGTCGAGGTCGTTCCCTGGCCAATCACCTCCCACCTCAAGGTGTCTCCTCACTGGCGTTTCCCGAAGGATGGGACACACATTGGTTACTACGGACAAATCACCGCTCTCAATGACTGTGTGTATCGCAACATGTACCGGAGCAGGTTTGTGCTGCTCAATGATATCGATGAAATTATTCTGCCCGCAAAGCACCCGGATTGGAAAACCATGATGAGGAGCCTTCAGGAGCAGAATCCAGAAACTGGTGTTTTCCTCTTTGAGAATCACATCTTCCCCAACACTGTGTTCACTGTCACCTCCACGGACAAGATCGACACTTCGTCATGGGGTGCTGTGCCCGGAGTGAACATCCTGCAGCATATGCACAGGGAGCCTGACCGGAAAGATGTCCTCAACCCTAGGAAAATGATAGTTAATCCAAGGAAGGTGATTCAGACTTCAGTCCACTCTGTCCTGAGGGCCTACACTGACAGTGTCAACGTTCCTTTGGACATCGCCCTTGTTTACCACTGCCGGGTACCGCTTCAAGGGAAGCTTCCCAGAGAATCGCTGATATGGGATACGACGCTCTGGAAATACAACTCCTCCTTAATCTTGAATGTTAACAACGTGCTACTGCAAACTGTGTTTTAGGGCAACACTGGAGCCATCAAGGGGAAAGACTGGCAGCATAGGATGCTGAGAACAACATTGTGGAGATGACCTTGATTAAGGTACATGTGAATATTCATATTCAGTCATGAGGACCTGGGAGAACATTCCTTGAGCATCTGGGATAAAAAGGATAAATTCAGTCATCATGAGCTGAAGCATTTGTGATTTTGTAAGGAAACACCATCCAATACAAAGATTCTTATCACTCCAATGAGTGCTCTATTATAAGTTGTCAGCTTTTTGGTCAGGCAAGTAATGGAAAAACAGATATGGTAATTAATAAAGAATTAAAAATTAGGCATCATATTGCCTGTCAAAATGGTTTTATGGTAAATGTATCTTGTCACATGAATCTGATTTCATTTTTTGTGGTTTCCTGTGTTTGTTGATAAAGGTAATGGCATAGATGTAATATCTTCGTGTTTTGTAAATAATGGGATAGGGACAGGGCTGATCCTGTCTCATGTGGGGGATTGGACTAGATGTGAATTCTGGAGGTCCCTTCCACCCCACTTCTCTATGAGTCTGTCACTTGCACTGCACAGTATTCTGGATTGGAAATTTAGCACTGTGCAATACCAAAGAGTATATTAACACACATCAAAGTAACTGCTGACAGGGAATCATCTCGGAAGTGGGATCAGGACTCAGCCTGAGGCTATTCAACATTTCCATTTGTGTTTTTTAGAAATGCTATTGAAAAACTATGTGGATAGCAGAGCTATTATCAGAATGGTGAAGAGGTGTAAGGGCAGTCCTACAGATCAGTTTGAGTGACTGTAAACACTGTCCTTTTAAACAAAACATGCGACTGCAGCCCGAAGGCAAGGTCAGCCAACTAGGAACAAGGGACACAAGCCGTACCCTGAAAAGCAGCAACTCAGAAAAGGACATGGTGGGAGTAATAACTAAGCAGTGCAACGTGAGCCCTCGGTGTGATGCTGTGCCAAGGGGAGCCAAGGCAATCCTTTGACAGGGAGAGAGAGACTCGGCCAAGGCACTGCAAAAATCTCATGTTAAGCTGAGGCCATTGTAGCTGTGTGTGAAGATCTCTTCCAAGAACCTGTGGTAGAGTCAATAGCACAGAATAAACAGGAATTCAAAAGTTATCAATGAAAATTACACCCACCAAAGCTATGAGAAACTATCTAGACACGTGGAACAGATGTAAACTGCACCTGAGTCTGTTTGTCCAAGCAGAAGACAGCAGGTATCTTAATTTCTGATGCTAGTGCATTCCAACAGACACAGGAGGTTAGCTGTGGAGCTACATTACACCAAATGAGAACGGCAGTCGGTGTGATGGTCAGCCATGACAGACGTTGGCAATCAAGGGTATGACGGAGCTTGTGATGGATCCATGGCTGAAGAGCTATTTTTTAAGTTGTCAGGTAAGCAGTGCTTCTTTCTAAGGTGTACTTGGTGACAAGCGAGGGCTCAGAGCAGTTGCAGAAGAGTGTGAGGACAGGTCCCCTATTGACTGGAATGCATCGGAGGACAGGACAACCCCACCGCAGCTCAGACGCCCAGGAAGTCCCATTTGTCCTGGAGCAGAAGCAGGAAGGCACTGCAGAGGCTGACCAGAGCGGGGACAGTCACTGAGGGCAAACTTCAACGAGCTAAGGAGGATAGTTGGAGAAGCGCTGAAGTCTCAGAGGGGAGCGGAGCCGGGTGTCCAAGGGGAGTGGTCGCTCCTTAAGGAGACGATCCTCCAAGCCCAGAGGAAGGTAATCCCCAGGAGGGTCAAAGGGGGCAGGAGAGCATATAAGCCTCCATGGCTCACTAAAAACATCCGGGAATGTCTCCTTGCCAAAAAGGAGGCTTACTCCCAATGGAAAGGAGGGGTCATCACTAAGGAGGACTATTCAGCAGTTGCTCGGGGATGTAGGGGGATGGTTAGGAAGGCCAAGGCAGAGATGGAACAGGGGCTGGCTTCCCGGATTAAGGACAACAAGAAGTCCTTTTTTAAGTACATAGGGAGTAGAAAGAAGGCCCCAGGAAATGTGGGGCCCTTGCAGGACAAGATGGGGAATCTGGTTGTCACGCCAGACGACAAAGCCAACATATTTAATAACTTCTTTGCCTCTGTCTTCCTCAGTAAGGACCAGAACTGCCACCTCCCTGCTGGGCCCCCTTTGGGCCCCAGGGGAGGCTCACCTGGGCCTAGAGTGAGTGAGGATTTAGTTAGGGAGCTTCTGGAGGGGCTGGACATTTTTAAGTCAGCCGGCCCGGATGATCTTCACCCTAGAGTCCTGAAGGAACTGGCTGGGGTCATTGCAAGTCCCCTGGCACGGCTTTATGAACACTCGTGGTGCTCTGGAGAGGTGCTGGAGGACTGGAAGAGGGCCAACGTGGTTCCCATCTTCAAAAAGGGGAGGAAAGAGGACCCGGGGAACTACAGGCCAGTCAGCCTTACCTCGATCCTGGGCAAGCTGTTCGAGAAAATTATTCTGGCACACATCCAGGAGGGGCCAGCAGGGAACGGCATGCTCAGGGGCAACCAGCACGGGTTCATCAGCGGCAGGTCCTGTCAGACCAACCTGGTGGCCTTTTACGACCAGGTCACTAAATCATTGGATGCAGGGGTGGCAGTGGATATAGTTTTCCTAGACTTCAGGAAGGCTTTTGATACTGTCTCTCACCCCATTCTCATTAGGAAGCTGGGGGACTGTGGCGTAGACACCCATACAGTCCAATGGGTCGCCAACTGGTTAGAGAGTCGCACCCAGAGGGTGGTAGTGGATGGGTCCTTCTCGACCTGGAAGGACGTGGGAAGTGGGGTCCCACAGGGCTCGGTCCTTGGGCCTGCACTGTTCAATATCTTCATCAGTGATTTGGACGAGGGGGTGCAAAGCACCCTGTTCAAGTTTGCTGATGACACTAAGATGTGGGGGGATGTGGGCACAATAGAGGGGAGCAACAGGCTACAGTTAGACCTAGATAGGTTACAAGGATGGGCGGAGGAGAACAGGATGGGGTTTAACACGGACAAGTGTAAGGTGATGCACCTGGGGAGGAACAATCGGCACCACACATACAGGCTGGGGAACTCCCCTCTTGTCAGCACGGAGGTGGAAAAGGATCTGGGAGTCATTATTGACTCCAAGATGAACATGAGTCGGCAATGTGGGGAGGCGGCTAGGAAGGCCAACTGCACCTTGTCGTGCATCCACAGATGCATCTCGAGCAGGTCCAAGGAGGTGATCCTCCCCCTCTATGCGGCACTGGTCAGGCCGCAGCTGGAGTACTGCGTCCAGTTCTGGGCGCCGCACTTTAAGAGGGATGTGGACAGCATCGAGAGGGTCCAGAGGAGGGCCACTCGTATGATCAAGGGACAGCAGGGTAGGTCCTATGAGGAAAGGTTGCGGGACCTGAACCTGTTCAGCCTTCAAAAGAGAAGGCTGAGGGGGGATCTTGTGGCCTGTTATAAACTGGTTAGGGGGGATCAGCAGGCGCTGGGGGAGTCCCTGTTCCCCCGAGCGCCGCAAGGAGTGACCAGGAACAATGGTCACAAGCTGGCGGAGGGAAGGTTTAAGTTGGACATCAGGAGGCGCTACTTCACGGTCAGGGCGGCTAGGGTCTGGAACCAGCTTCCAAGTGAGGTGGTGCAGGCTCCCACCCTGGGGGTTTTTAAGAGGAGGTTGGATGACCACCTTACTGGGGTCATTTGACCCCAGTGCTCTTCCTGCCATGGCAGGGGGTTGGACTAGATGATCTGCTCAGGTCCCTTCCGAGCCTAGAAACTATGAAACTATGAATGTTGTGGGAGGAGAAAAAGGAAACATCACTTCTGTACAAGAGTGATCTTTTTCCTTTACCCACAAGGAGCAAGACCGTGGGGCTGCTGGTAGATACTGTACTGCAGCTGACAAGTCTGGGCTCTGGTAGGTGCCCTCAGAAAAACAGGGCATTCATTTGTGCTGATTCAGCACCCTGCAGGAGATCAGTTCCTGCAGCGCTGTCTTGGTTTTGTTAGTTACTCATGTATTCCACCAGCAAATTAATTAATTTTGGTGATGGGCTCGGTGGCTAAGGTTTACAACGCTGGTGGGGAGAGGAGAATCAAAGCCTGCCTACAGCTTTCTGGCAGCTTTGGGAAGAGCAAGAGCGGGGAGGTGAGCACGCTAGCAGGGAGTGAGAGACTGCAGAGGGATCTGCATAGGTTACAGGGGTGGGCTAACAGGAACAGGATGCGTTTCAATACGGACAAGTGCAGGGTGCTGCACTTGGGCAGTAGGAACCAGCAGCACACTTACACAATGGGGAACT